AATTGCAAGCTTTTCATGCAGTTGGGTATTCACTATGAGCTTCTTGCTGCATGTGTCCCAGCTAGGAGCGGAGTCAAATCTCGGCGTTCAGTAATTATCCCTCTTAGCAGTTAAAGCTCCATTTTAAGATCTATAACCTGAGTTGGTCAGTCCTCTACGTGGGTGGCCAAACTCCATCAGGGGATTGTGGCATACCTTGGCTAGGGCACAGAGCACAGGTGGGCTCTGTGTGTGGCCCCCAACACAACCTGAAGCTGCGCTGTACCTTCCCATCAGAGTTTCTTTCAGTTTGTTCCTAACTTGGCTGGGTTGTGTGGGGGGGGCAAAATACTGCAGCCATATAACACCTTGCTTGAGGAATTGGTAGCCAGGGCCAGTCTCCTACCTGGTCAAGTTCAAGGTGTTGGTGCTAACATATGAAGCCCTTTCCCGCTCAGGGACTGTTAACTTGAAAGATCGCCTTATCCCTTCAGTGTTAGAAACTGAGATATGAAAACTAGGAGCTAAATGGCACCTTAGACCTAGGTTATGGGCACAACAACTGAATGTCTAGGCACGCTTTTTAATGACAAGAATACAAAGCTGAAAATGAACGAGCTGCAGCTAAATTATTATGTTCATTTTTCACATGGTCTAGTCCCTCCCCTGCCTACCCCCCTAATATTCTTAAGAGGGTCTCTTCTCCAGCCTTCAGAGAGTAGCTAGAAGTGGGGAGGCAGAAAAAGGTCCTCCTTTCCTTCCACTCTGCAGTTTTAATCTGAAATCTTAGGCGCAGTCCTGCGCCCAGAGCTCAGAAACTGCTCACGCTAATGAAATTCCCTGTCGCAAAATACACCTAGAACAATGGGAGTTTCGAACACTTTATCTCTTATATATCCAATAGGTCACTGCGGTCTGCTGGAGAGCTTTTCCTGCAAGTTCTAGAGATATCAGAAGCTCACTCCAGAGTAACACAAAACAGGGCTTTCTGTATGGCCATCAAGTTATGACAGGCACCCTCTATCCCCACTTTCCAGAAACTGAAGACAGATTTTCAGTTTGATGAATGAGTCTCTGCCATGGGTGTCTATCTGTTGGTTTGGTTTTTGTGTTGTTTTCACTGTTTCTTCGCTAGTTTTGTTGTGCATCACTTTGAGACGTGTGCATTGAGTGTGATTAAATAAATCATGTACATATTGCACATTGCCATTGTTTGCATAATGTATGTAGTCTAAAAACATAAAGGTAGTTAGTACAGCCCCTGTTTGCTTGCACGATTTCCATTCTTGACCTCACCTGGACATGCAAATTGCAGCAATTTCTGCTCTCATTTCTGTTTCTGATGAAATTCTCTGACATCCTACTTAACAGTTGGTGCTAAGGAAACGTATAGATCTGTAGGTCCGTAGAAATATCAGTAATACGTGGCATGTTGGGAACTTCAATTCCTCCTTTTTTCTGCTTCAGTCTGGAACCATGACTGTACCAAAATCAAGATATCTGTTCTTGTCTCTCTCTTCTCCCCCCATACACACTCCTTCCCTCTCTTTCCTCTACTTTGATAAATACAGTGGTACCTCAGGTTAAGAACTTAATTCATTCTGGAGGTCCGTTCTTAACCTGAAACTGTTCTTAACCTGAAGCACCACTTCAGCTAATGGGGCCTCCCGCTGCCGCCTCGCCGCGGGAGCACGATTTCTGTTCTCATCCTGAAGCAAAGTTCTTAACCTGAGGTACTATTTCTGGGTTAGCGGAGTCTGTAACCTGAAGCGTCTGTAACCCAAGGTACCACTGTAGATATTTGCTCTCCTTTGCACCCAGAGATAGCCAAATATACACATATGTAGCATCCCAAGACACATTCAGTCACAGGTCTGCACACATGTGAACCATCCTCTCAAACATATACATGGGCCCATTTCTCCCTTCAATCAATAGCTATGGAAGGAAGCAGGGAAGAAGCCTTTTATGTTCTGTAGAAGGCAGACAAAAGCACTTCCTCTGCAACCCTTCCCCCCCTCCCCCTCCCCTCATTTTTGTCCATTCTCTGAAGGCACAGCCAGTTCCTCCTTGGAACAAGCATTGATACACATCTTAAGGTGTATGAACACTGAACGATAAAGCTGCATGTTGTAGTGTTTTGGAGGCTTGTTTTAAGAACCCGTTTTTATTGACAATTTCTGGGCTTGGTAATAGGATGAAATGCGATCCTCAAAAACAACAACCCCCAAAGCTGCTTGATAATAATTTGTCATATATTACATTGTATTGCAAGCAGCATCCCTCAGGAGGAGATTTTGGGCCAGATTCAACGAAATAGTGGCTCTTGCGGGAGCAGTGAGTCCTGCTAGGGCAACAGGAATTCCCTCCCAAATTGGCTCTGGGGGTCAAGAGAAACCCCAGAGCAGTGTGTTGCAGCAAGTGAGCAGAAAAGCTTGCATTTGACAGCATGATCGCATTAGCACACAGCTGAATTCCTTCTTTTGGATCCACTTCAATCTGTTTCTGTTCCATTGTTGGCCCCTCTCTCTGGAGTGTTTGTGAGAAAGCCGAAACAGGTTTTATTTCATAATCTGTCATCATCCCTTGCACTTCGGTGCTTGCAGCAAATGTGGTTTTCCACAAAGTGAGGTGTGACTCTGCTGGGTTGCAGCCATTTCAACTCTGGGTCATATTGGTAAGCTGCATCTTAAAATTTGCCGAAAAGCAAAAGGCTCAGTGCTGTGGCTTTCTGTCCTTGCAGAGAAATGGTCAGGAGCCATTGCTATAGCAGTGCACCATTTTGACGTGTTGCTCTGTACCAGTGTTGTGAGCCAGGGCATGGTACTACTGCAAAACGATGCGTTGATTCTTTTGCAGTTAAGTGGCTGTAAATAAGACATGGAAGAAGTGGTGTGGCCGAAGAATTAGAAATATTTTACTTCTACCCCATGCAAGAATATTTTTGGTGTCCTGTTTATGAATATATTAGCAGCCTCGTACCCAGTGCTGCTCTGTAACTTGAAGAAACAAAAACAATCAGTGCATCCAGTTGTATCCAAACATAGACGAAAACCTACTCCTTGATCTCAGGAGCCACCATGCAGAATTTGGTTACCTATCCAAATGCGTAGTGAACAAGCAACTTTCTGTCCTTTGGTCCACCTCTCCCGGTTCTGTCTACTGTGACTGGTAGCAGTTATTCAGGATCTCAGGTAGAGGTTCTTCCTAGATTTCCTACCTGGAGAACTTCCTAATAGCAAGGCGTGTGTTCCACCACTGAGCTATGGCCGCTTCACAACCCAAGCGCCCAGTAATCTGACAGCAGCCTGTTTTAGCAAACACTTAGCACAAAGTAGCCAATGTGATGAACTACAGCCGCCTCAATCCTGACTGCTGACATGTTGGTGAGAGTTGGGAGTCCCAACATCTGGAGGGCACCATGTTGGCTACCGAAGGCACAGCAGTCCTTTCCTCCTAGCCTGCTCTAGCCACTCTCTGCACTGCCAGTTCTGTATTTTAAATATTCTTGCATGAAGATACTTTTTCTTTTCTTTATCTGTTGCAGGCTTAAAAACTGAAAGTTTTCTTTTTTCCGTTTTGGTATAATGTGTGTCAAAACACACAGGACAGGGTGATGCAAAGGCAGCCTAACAAAGAGCAGCAGTGCCTATTTTTTTACTCCTGCAAGCAAGCGAGCAAGCAAGCCTGGGCCTCTGTTTAGCACGTGCTTCATTCTGATAGTTTGGTGTTAGGAACCTTTCTCCCTGGTCTGGCTGATTTCCCTGTAGTTTCTGCCTTTAGCCAGAACCTGCCTGAGTCCTGGTCTGGGGGAAAGGCGGGATATAGAAAAATAAAATACAACAACTATAATAATATATCTCTTAGGTCCCAAATATAAGCATTGACTCTGCAGATCTACTTTCAGCCATTTGTTGTTATCCCATTCCTGTTCATGATACCCACACCATGCATTTAGAGCACATGGCTTTCCCCCAGAGAGTCCTGGGATATGTAGTTTACCGCTCACAGAGCTTCAGTCCCCAGCACCCTTAGCAAACTACTGTCTCTTAGCAAGCTACTGTCCCATGATTCATTGAGCAAACTGATGTGCTTTAAATGCGTGGTGTTGATACAGTTCTATGCATTTTGCCTCCCAGGCGGCATTCAGGTGTGGAATCTTACTGCGTATGTTTCACTGGTTATAATGCTAGCGCTTCTATCCTGATTTTAACGTTCCTTTTGCACTGCAGTAGCTGCTGTATTATGGAACTGTGACTCTTTGATCGATATGCTGCCACATCTCACAAAATTTTAAATGGCAGGAAAGAACTGGGTACTGGGATACTGCTCCACATTTCATCATATCAGGAAAATTACCTTCTGCAATTTTCCAAGTTAAAAGGGTTGCAAACAATTCCTCCCCCCCCCCCCAGATTTCCAGAAGGGGCTTTTACATCACATGAAACAGGAAGATATAAAGAAAGGTTGGGAAGGTGGAATAAAATGCCATCTGAACGCAACCCCAGTAAGCCCTTATTTGCTGTTATGGCAGGATTTAAGATTTTGTTTTGCCCCTATTAGAGTAAGTAGCACACACACACACACACACACACACAAAATGGAATAAATTCTTCTTCCACATAATTGAAGGGAATTTGCTTTCACAGGATCTTGTGATGGTCAATAGCTTAGGTGACCTTAAAAAACGGGGGGGGGGGGATAGATGCGAAAAAGCACTAAAAATTTTCTTTGAAAAGGGAAAAGGATTAGACTAGTTGCATGAAATCAGATCCACCAACAGCTGTTGCCATGATGGGAATCAGAAGTTGCCATGGTATTCCTGCCCTATGGATGAATTTTCTTCCAGAGGCACCTTGGCCTCCCAAATAAATAAAAAAAGCATTATAGACAGAACAAAGCTGTAAGATCAGCAGATGCATCAGAGCCCTGCAGTTGCTGGTTCAGGTGACTGGCTTGCGTTCGTAAACTCACATGGCTGTCATTTGATTCCATTTTTTCCTCTCCTTGTTCCTGTCTAGTATCCCAGCATCTCTGACGTCTGCATAAATCATTGGCCTTCGTCATCATAAGCCCCTGACAATTTTTGAAGTAGGTGTTTCTTTCGTTCTTGCAATGTTGTGTGTTATTGTCAGCGGCCCCTTTGCCTAGGATTAAATAACCCCACGTATATAAAATCCAGTTGCGAAGGAGTCCAGCTACTGATCACTTGCCGCTCTCAGTTCAGTGCCCACTATTGTATTCTAATCAGTAATCTGGAGTGCAATCAGGAGCAATGTTCAGAATTCACCAGGTGCATTTTGCACCTGGCTATCGGCCACCTGCGACCAAGTGAAGATGGCCTGTTGCCAGGATGGTGCCTGACGTCTCCACCATCTGGAGGTGCATGCCAGGGGATCCTTGGATCCTGACTGTTTTCACACGCTAACAGCGCATCCTTTGGAATTCTATCTGGGTTATTTTATCTGCAAAATCAGAATGAATTTCAGGGAACAAAAAATGGTATTGAAAAATACATCTTTCGAGCTGCCTGGCCCCAAAATAGCAGTTAGACATTCTGTTTAAACCCTGGTTTAGGGCACCATTTGGTACCTATATATCTGAGTTTCTAGTGCTGCTCAGGAGCCAGGTTTCTGGAGGGAAGCCATGTGTTAGGGGTGACAGATGCCAGGCTTCTCTGGGCAAACTGACTAGAATCTTCCTTGTCCAGGATTATGAACAATAGTGTAAGCAAATACAGTGGTACCTCGGGTTACAGACACTTCAGGTTACAGACTCTGCTAACCCAGAAATAGTATCTCAGGTTAAGAACTTTGCTTCAGGATAAGAACAGAAATTGTGCCGCGGTGGCGGCAGCGGGAGGCCTCATTAGCTAAAGTGGTACCTCAGGTTAAGAACGGACCTCCAGAACAAATTAAGTTCTTAACCCGAGGTACCACTGTACTGAAGGTGGCTGTATATAACAACCAAAACAAAGCCAACAGCATTGGGGGGTGGGGGTGGGCATTAATCCGCTCTTGTCGAACTGTCCTCCAACTCCTGGTCAACTTTACTTTTTATGTGATTCATCTGTTTAGGGATTTTAAAGCTCTGAGCCGCCTTGGGTGCCTTGACAGAAAGGTGGTACATAAATGCAAATACAGTGGTACCTCGCAAGACGAATGCCTCGCAAGACAAAAAACCTGCAAGACGAAAGGGTTTTTGGTTTTTTGAGTTGCTTCGCAAGACGATTTTCCCTATGGGCTTGCTTCGCAAGACGAAAACGTCTTGCAAGTTTGTTTCCTTTTTCTTAACACCGTTAATACAGTTGCGACTTGACTTCGAGGAGCAACTCATAGCACGCGGTGTGGTAGCCTTTTTTGAGGTTTTTGAAGACTTTGGTGATTTTTGAAGCTTTTCCAAAACTTTTCCGAAACCGTGCTTCGCAAAGCGAAAAAATCGCAAGACGAAAAAAACTCGCGGAACGAATTAATTTCGTCTTGTGAGGCACCACTGTACACTGTTGTATGCAACGCAATGTTTCATATACACCGATAGAGGAATAATCCTCCGAGGCACTTAATATTAAAATACATGTACCATGTTGAAACAAACAATTGCATATGATAAGGGGCAACTGTGGAAAGCATGAGGCAGTGTTGTGGTTGTTGCAGACAGGCTAAACATGGATAACAGAGACTGCAGGAAAACCCCCTCTGTAGCAGCTCATGCAAACACTACGTATTTTAAAGACTACAGTGCGAACCAGATCCTCTGATGCGAAGAGGCAACAGGACCGCTGTGGACATTCAACTGTCTGTTGAGTGACCAAAGAGACATTGTTCTAGATATACTGTAGGTAGGTAGCCGTGTTGGTCTGCCATAGTCAAAACAAAATTAAAAAATTCCTTCCAGTAGCACCTTAGAGACGAACTAAGTTTGTTATTCGTATGAGCTTTCGTGTGTATGCACGCTTCTTCAGATACACACTTCAGTGCATGCACATGAAAGCTCATACCAATAACAAACTCATTGGTCTCTAAGGTGCTACTGGAAGGAATTTTTTTTATTTTGTTTCAAAGACACATTGCGACAGTCTTTGCCAACCCGGTGCCCTTCAGACATTTTGGCTATGCTGGCTGAGGCTGATGGGGTTTGTAGTCCAGAATGGAGGCTGCAATAAGTTAGGGTTGCCATACGTCTGGAATTTCCTGGATATAACCGGATTATGGTAGTCGGAATCCAGTGTCTAAGCAGAAATGGCTGGGGAAATCTGGATGTATGGCAGCCCATGTCGGAAGTCTAGTTTTTGCCGAATTTCCTTAAAGCTGAACAACTTTTGCATTCGGTGTTTTACTTTTTGAAAGATGGCAACCCAAAATAAGTGGTGTTAGTTTACCCTCTCGGGAAAGTTTTTATCCTGAGGTGTCCATTTAGACATACAGTACTGCTCACATTACGAAACACATTTGCACAATGCTATCTTCTTGTTTTAAATGTTGAAACAATGTTACTTGAATTGCCATTTTGTATATTAGCTGGTACCTTTTTCCTAAGCAATGGCATGGGAATGTGAGTTACAAAGTTGAATGTACATTGCATAAACTTACCTATTTTTCGCTCTGTAAGACCACAAGACGCACCTAGTTTTTGGAGGAGGAAAACAAGAAAAAAAATATTCTGAATCTCAGGAGCCAGAACAGCAAGAGGGATCACTGCACAGTGAAAGCAGCAATCCCTCTTGCTGTTCTGGCTTCTGGGATAGCTGCGCAGCCTGCATTCGCTCCATAAGACGCACACACATTTCCCCTTTTTAGGAGGAAAAAAGTGAGTCTTATAGAGCAAAAAATACGGTATTTTGTGTTGTGTGGTTGGTCCTGCAAAGACAGCAGACCTTGAAGTTGTTTTGCTATCATTTTTTCAGCAAGATAGCCTTCTGGGTCCCTTAACACATACACACCCCTTTTGTGTTTTCAAAATTTGAAGCTCACAAAAATGAATTTGCTCTTTTTAAAAAATGAGACTTCCTCATAATACAGTGAAATTGCAAAAACAAACAAACAAACAAACATTTATTTATACATACATACATACATGCATACATATCCCGCCCATCTGGCTGGGTTTCCCCAGCCACTCTGGGCGGCTTCCTACAAAAGGTTAAAAATACGTTAAAACATCAGTCATTAAAAGCTTCCCTAAACAGGGAAGGAGAACAACAAAACAAAGGAGGAAAACAAGAAGAAAAGAAAGGAACAATAGAAATAAAGAGAGGAAATAGAGAGAAAGAGAAAATAAAATAAAGCAAAAGAAAAGAAACATTAGCAAAAAAATACAGAAAAGGAACTTCTAATTTTCCTTCTGCTGTTTACATAAAAGAATAAAATATGATTACTTAAAACCTTTGGTCCATGCGGACATCCATCTTCTCCACTTTCAGTTAAACAGTATTTCTTTTAAGTTAAAGTGTCTCAGAATCAATCATTTCTTTTTCCCCAGGAAAAGTCCGAGATGGGTTCCCTAAATGTTAGTATTATTAATAAATGTTAGCCATATTTTTCCTTGTAATTTTATCTCTTATTGATTCCCAACACTATTACTCCATACTGAGTGCGAAGAAGTTGCTTTTAGGAAGGAGGTGAGCAAGTCGTTAAGCCCTGTGTTGCACAAATGCCATCAAACCTGTTTAGAGGATTTTTGGGTATCAGTCACTGATTTTAAAATTTAAGAAGACTGTGTTGATTCTCTAGGGTGTCACTTTCCTGATTAAAGCAGTTTATAGATTCTAAAAGGAGATCTGTTCATCTGTTGCAGGGGGAAAAAGGAACAAATAGTCTTGTGGCACATTACAGATTGACAAATTTTATTATGGTATGGACTTTATGTGAGTTGGGAGGGAGAAACTGTATTGGGTTCAGAGGGAAATGTCCAGAAAGTAGCAGTTCAGTTGGAGCTAGAATAAAATAAGCACAGCGATCCTTTACAAGAGCACCTAAAATACGCAGTAAAAAGCAATAGATGGTTTGTAAATGGATGTAATAGATATTTAAAATTATTGGGTGGTTTTGATGTGGGGTTTTTTTTTTCATTGGCTTTTGCGGATGGATTATTCTGCCTTTATTCAGCTGATTTATTTATTTATTCTTTTATCTATAACATTTTTATCCTATTCTAAAGCCAAAGTAAGGCTCCAAGAGCGGTTTACAGACAGACAGTCGCTGCCTCAAACTTACAAACTGAAAGACATGACACAAAAGGAAAAGGGATTGGGAGGGAGGAGGGAAAAAAGCAAACTTAGGCGCTGTTTCTTAGTTGCAGAGTTCTTGTAATGAGCAGCTGGAATGGAATTGTGGAGTGGTTTTTATATGATGTCTAGATTCATCCAATACTGTGATTTTATGCTTCGGTGAACTACTTTGAAATGCATTGCATGCATGTACACAAGCATTTTTTTACTTGCTACATTTATATCCCAATGTTTTTCTGGGGGTCTCTTAAGGGGAAGTTTATCCTCATGAGAAAAACCAAACCTGCGAGGTCAAATAAGGCAGAGAACAGGAGCGGAGGAGACTGAGTCAGACCATTGTTTCATCTAGCACAGTATTGTCTACAGTGTCTGGGAGTGGCTCCCTGGTTTCAGTCATGTCCCCCCATAGAATCATAGAATCATAGAGTTGGAATAGACCACAAGGGCCATCGAGTCCAACCCCCTGCCAAGCAGGAAACACCATCAGAGCACTCCTGACATATGGTTGTCAAGCCTCTGCTTAAAGACCTCCAAAGAAGGAGACTCCACCATCTATCTATCTATCTGGAATCTATCTGCAGATTCCAGTGATTGACCCTGAAACCCATTTGTACGTAAAGCAGGTGATTGCCCAAGATAACCTGGTGAGACATGTGTGTTCTGGAAGATGGCATAGTTCTCCCTCCTTAATTAATTTGAAATTCTGTTATGAAGCCAATGAGCTTTGATATAGCCTAAGACAAACGTGGGTGGCAATGTGGGTTAAACCACAGAGCCTAGGACTTGCCAATCAGAAGGTCGGCGGTTCGAATCCCCGCAACGGGGTGAGCCCCCGTTGTTCGGTCCCTGCTCCTGTCAACCTAGC